GCTCGTCGTATCTGTTAGGGGTTAAAAAAGCAGTTTTGGTACCTCTTAGTGTATTCAGCCTCAAAAGGTCCACAGCGGGAGCTTTCGCGCTTCCTTTTCGGGTATCGAGCCGAAAAAAGTCAGTGTCAGTTAGTGTGTTGTTTTAGAATGGTACCTCTTAGAGGTGAAAAAAAAATTCAGCCACGCCCACAAAACAGTATCTTGGTTCCTCTTATGGGTTCTTGTACAAATTTCCCAAGAGCATCCCCGTCCTCCAGTCCTCCTCCCAGCCCCTCCCCTCCCCGGGGCTGGAATTGTTATAGGTTTGTTACAGTTTCACTTAAGTGTAAGAAAAGTGTTCTTTGGTAAATAGAGAGCTTTACCACCACACGTCAACAATGGCGACAGCTAAGAGCCAGAAATAAAGTTATATTTTACCGACGATTCTTTAACTTCAGTTATTATTATTATTATAAATTTTATCTTTACCTAGAGTGTACCGAAATGTTTAACGATTAAATTTTTGCTTGGCGGCGCCTTCGTTCCGTTACCGTTGTGGTTGAAGAAGCGTTTAATATTCGACCCATAGCACTGCTAGCCTCTACCACGCGTTCAGTTAACTAGGACGCAGCGCCAAAAACGGCTAGGGGAACAATAGGGCTCCTGGCACGAAGCACCCATCTTTTTTTTGTCTCTCGCCGTTTTTCGCGCTGCGCCTCGACTAACTGACCGGCTGGAAGAGGCTACTCTGAAGAATTTCCCCGCGCAAACACTACGCAAATGTCTGTAGTGAGCACTTTGTTTGATATCAGTAAGGTTTTTTTTCTTTTTATTATGTATCGATTCTCGGACGTTTCTTTAGCAGGGGATTGAAATGTTGGCGTCACCAGGGGCTGTCTGCTTTACCAGGCAGCTCTTGCATCAAACTGTTTGTACTATACCAAGTTTGACTCTCGGTGGCTGCAACAGTAACGGTGTGTCGCTATCTTGATGTGTTCACTAATAACGCACTGAGACGAAGCACACCTACATGTGACGACTCAATTCCCAAAGATGTAAAGGTGTTATTTATCGGGGTGGATATCGTAGTTTTTGTTGTTGTTGTCGTTTTTGTTTTTGTTTGTTTTTCTGTGTTGTTTTTGTCTGTTTTTTTTTAAATTTCCTATCGTTTTTTTTTTTTTTTTTTTTTTTTT